GATCACTATCCAGTAATTCTTACAACAGTGCTGCTTTCATGGGTGTTTTGTGCTTACAGGATTTTCTTAAGATTCATGGTGCATGTGGAAAGCCAATAAAAACAAATTCTAACAAAAACTCTGCCAGTATACAACATGCATTTATTTTAAGTCTCATCACTGGACCTAAATGTATTCCAAAGAACTAAATTACTGTTTAATAATTATAATACTATTTTTTTGGAAAGAACTAAAAGATTGCAGAATCTATGGATACCAGATAGAGTACACGCTCACATGAATAGAAACAGAAGTAGCTGTACGTTGCTATATATATTAGTGACATTAATTTGAACCGTTTGACCAACAGACAGCACAGTAAAGTGTTTAAAGGTCAGACAGGAAAGATTTTTAAAAATTAGTCTTGTTCCCTTTATTGTTGTTCTGGCATATAAAATGACCTTAAAGGCAACTGGTATTTTAAAGAGGCGTATTTATGCTTGCTTTCTTTCCATAGGACTGTCAAGTCTGGCCTTCCCTGATTTGACCTGCAGATGTGTTGCAGGGTATCAGAGACTATGTATTGATTGTTCTCACGCATCATGTGAGGGATTGGGTTAGTTGCTCATTTTTACAATTTGAAGAAAGAATTGTTTGTTGTTAACCTTCATGCTCCTCTTCTAATTAAGGTGTGAGAACTGAGAAAGCTCATCAGAAAATCCAGGAAAAACTAGAGTTGACATGCCTAGCAGTTGTTAAGGTTGTAAAATTACAGGAGAAGAGTTTGTGGAAAATATTTGTGGAATTTTTATACATTATAAAGAAACAAACAAGATAACAAGTAAAAAAAATCCCAAACCAGTCTTTTCTCCTTTGATAATTATGCTTAAGGCCAAATCCACATATCATTACAAACAATGGGAGCACTGTCATGGATTTCCCTCAGCATTTGCAGATTAGTAAAGTTATCTAATAGAAGGAAACTTAATAGCAGTTTCTGAATATACACTAAGGAAAAGAGCTTTAAGGAATCTTTGAGCCAAATCTCTTATTTGGCAGAAGAGCGCTCTTCCTTTTAAGCCAACACAACATACTGTATGTGGGAATCTACATAAACGGAGTACATCTTTTTAATGAATGGGTGGGGGGAAGACCTTAATGGCTTGAAATAGTGTATAAATTAGCTTTAAAGCAGTTCAAGTTGTAAAATTAAAAAGCTGAAACCTTAACATCATGACTCCCAAAAGCCGCATTTAGCTCATGACTCCCATTTTAATTTGCTTCCTCCATGTCTCTTCTGAAAGTCTCTCACTCTCCAAATTTTGCATTTTCCCTACTTCACAAGCCTGTATAAATATGTAGGAAAACCAATCAAAGCAAGAAAGCTTTTACAGCTGTACTTACAAAACTCACAGGACCACAACAGTACCACCCTAAATACCAGACCAAATCATGATTTGAAACTACTACCCATCACGAGAGAAAGAGGAAAACAGAACAAGAACTGCACAGCAGTGACAACGTCCAAAGGCATTCTTGCTGATTCAGCCAGAATTGCTCCAGGGG